TTGGGGCAATTACTTAACTTTATTTTAAGAAGCTTTTCACACTGTCAGCCAACCTCTTGAGGTGATTTTGGAGAATCTGAATGTTCCCATATCAAACTGTACGCACGAAGAACAGGTTACGTACTGTACGAAGAAGCTTCTTAAGCTTCATAATTTTAATTTGGTCCAATGTGTTGTTCATGTGTCATGTTTATTACTGCTGTTCTTCCCAATGAGTTGAAAGCAAAAATGTTGAGATATTTCTGCCAACATTTATAACACGGTTCTATTCTTTACCTGCATTTCTTATAAACTGAAGAGTGTTTATTTCTTGAATGCAGACAGTCAAGTTTAATACATATAATTAATAAAATAAAACATACAGGACTCCAACTTACTTTGCCTTGTAAATTTTTGCATCAAGAAGGCTCATATTTTTTAAATCTTTTCGTGACGGCTTGCGGCCATTGAGACTAGAATCTGCTCTGGAGTCATTACTCGATGTACAAATTGAGGTCCAAGAGGGCGACAAGCTAATTACAAGGCTGTTGCCTAAGGAAATTTTTAAGGAGCCCAGGATAAAATTTGCCTTGGTCAGTCCAGGGGGTCGGGGAGGTTGGGGAAGACGGGGAGGTGGGGGGTTGGGGTAGAGTGAGTTGTAGAAATCTAGGGGAGGGGTCCAGAGGCAGAGATTTTTCATGAGACACTGATATATAAACAATAGCCTCCATTTGGCCTGACGATATGTTCGGGTGTTTGTCTGCTCACATTATCTGTTCCGAGAAACGAACACTTTTCCGAGAGTGTAGCTCGAGGAAAACTGTGAACTTAAAGGAACAGATAATGTCCAAGGACAAATGTCCGAGCATATTTTCAAAGTCAAATGGAGGCTATTGTGTTTATTATCCTTCATATATTTTTCGCGCAGGAGAATATTCTTGGATATTCGGTCACATGACGTGTTTAGACCGATCTTGCAGGAGCAAAGATATTTGATGGATTATAAGCTTTGATATCAATCGGACTGAGTGAGTGATCAGGCCATGACTGAAAGAATACTATTTATGGTCAAATAAATTCAATAATTGGTGTATCCGTGCAAAGCTACAGCTTTTTTTGCAAACATTTATATTGCTGCTTCTGTTTTTGAGTTTTGCAATTCTATTTTAGCAAAACAAAATACATTGTACCAATCATGAAAATCCAAGCTGCACATAAAAACAAAGAAAAATGAAAGAGGCATTTGGGGGGTTTGAATTTTGCCTCACTGAAATGTGCTTTCCTATCTCGGGCTTGGGACATGAGTATAAACTAAAGGTGATTTTGAGGCAGCTGATTGTTGCATTACATTGGCTGCTTCTTTGGAGAAAATATGTTCTCATATATCAGGCAGATTCATGACAATTTGTTTGACATTTTAAAATATCAAACCCTAGTATGTAAAAAGAATTGCAATGATGTTTTCTTTTTGCTGGCTAGTTAGTTGAATATTTCAACTTTTAAGTCGCAAATATCCTTTCAGGAATTAAAGAAATTCGTTCAGTACAAGTAAGTATCGGACAAAAAAAAGCCCAAGAATTGAGACACATTTATCTGTGTTCAATTGTAAATATAATGTCAGTAGCATCATCACTCCAATTCCAAAAATAGTTGTTATCAATGAAAGTAGTTATTTTGCAACTGGAATCAGTAAGGCATCAACAGAGACGTAATTCATTGGCATACGTGATGTACATTTATTCAATACTGAGCTTGCAATGCATTATAGGGTGATTTTCAAATATGGCTGTTTTCGGCTGTTTTGTGAGCGGCAAGAGACTTTGTTCTCGTGTTGTGGCCCACATTTCTCGTGAAAAAAGCAAAACAGGGCAAGAGTAGCTGTTGTTTCCCGTTTAATTTATTGTGTGAATGATTTTTTGTCATCAGACAGATTAGATGGGAATGAAAACTCCATGTTTAGGCGCCCACTCAGGCTCTTTGAACAAAACTGTAGTCGCCCGCACTCGTACACTTAGGCGCCTCAGGCAGCCGGGCGCCCGTTAGGCAGCAGCCTTGGATTTTCTTTGTTTGGGTCAGATTTCAGATTTTGACAACATGAGTTTTAATAAACAATGTTATTGATATTGATATTATTTCATAGCAAACTTGAAAACCTCTCCACACTGATCTAACAAAGAGCATTATGTATAAGAGGCCTGCTTCAGCGCTTTCACATCTATTGACTCACGAAAACAAGTAGAATTGTGGCATGTGCGCAAATTGTATTCAGTTATGGTTTCTTACCTACATGTACCAAAGGGTACAACATTGGAGTACTGCTCAGTAGCTTTTGATTGGTACAGTAATAATTTATTGACATCACAAACTTAGAAGTTAAACACCTTTGCAGGACAATCGGCCATACAACAGGATGTTTCTGCTTAATATATACATGTAGCTGGTATATTATTTATCTAAATGGGTTTTATTAGTGTCCATGACCATGAGAAGCAATTGTGCAGTACGGTTAATGTCATTAATATAAAGTACTGTCCAGCTCAGTGGCAGCTCTGTTGGTTTATGGGCAGTGTCTCATGGAAAAACCGCTTGTGCTGCAGCCCTTACGAGAACCTGCTTACAGGCTAGGTTATGTGGAATACAGTAAAACCCCGCAACTAAGAACCTGGATTTTAAGAACCTGTTTGGCCATAATTTGCCAGTTAAGCCCTCTCTATATAGGAACCTGGTTAGCCTAGAAGTTGAAACAGGTTCTTATTTTCTAAAATCTATGAAAAACATTCTGTACACTTGGGCAAATAAAATAAGTCAACATTGAGAATCCTCTTTGGAGCCATAAGTGCCTTATCACTCCAACTGCAGTGTAGGACTTCAAAATTCTTGAGGTCAATGCTTTAAATAGTTCTTTTAATGGTCATTTTTACATAAGCTCTAATTTGGTATGGAGATTTTATATACCTCTATGAGGAATAAGCTGAACCACTACATGTAAATACTCTTAGCTATATTGTATTTTTTTTTTCTTCAGAAAATCAGAATCTATGTGTTAATTGCCCACTCCATAAGGTATGAGGAATCTGGGTACGAATTTGATTCATAGGGGCTTATGGGATTGTTTGGTTAGATGCTCTAAATTTCAAAATGGCGGTAGAGAGAACCAGCTGTTCAAAACAGGTTGTTATATACGAGTAAGACATACCTGGAGCAAAGCTGCCTGGAGAAAACCCCAAGGAGTGCACTGTGTCTCAGCTAGTAGGTATTGTGCCATGGAGTGAAAGCAAGCGGAAAGAAAGTCAATCTCATTAAAAGGTTTGCATGACTACATGTATGTATACAACAATCCAGACTTTAATTTGTACCTCGCTACATTTGTTTTATGAACCTGTTCAAGACATTGTTCATTTCTTTCACTGTTCTCGGCTTTAGGTTGAAAGACTATTTCAAAACTTGTTGAAACTCCTGATAAACATGCCGCCACGTTCGGTGGACGTGCTCCGCAGTGAACGCGAAAACGTCAAGCGGAGATTATTTCTTTCTTGAAATGAAGCAGTGGAATTAGAAAAAAATACACGGGGCCAATCAACAAACTCTCTGGCATGAGAATCGAAACCAACGGATCACAGCCTCAAAGTGTTACAGATGTGCTTAAGAGTCCCTGCCCATAAATATGGAAAATAACTCGGCAAGGGTCGAAAATTCGATTTCGCTCATATTTTTACGGTAAATAGGCTAGGACATGACAAAAACTACTGGATAGTTTTTTTGACAAAATATCCTTTTATTTCAAAGAAATATGCAAATGACCAAATTCCGTTAAAATCGTCATTTGACG